CAGTTGAACGTCATCATTTGGTATCATGCTATTACTCATTAAAATGTTGTATACAAAAAGCTTTTCCATGATGATGTAATTTCCTTCTTGAGGAAATGTACTTATTACGTATCTGCTGTTTCTAAGTTTCTTATTTTTACTTCCATGACAAATAGGATTTTGTTCGCGGAAAAATACCCATGACATTCTTTTGGCGCCAAACAGGAACTGTCAATATATATTGAATTTGCATTGAAACGCAGGAAAATGAGATCTAGTTCCTATTAGTTTTTAAACGAACGCCAGACAACCGCGTGTTTAGGTCACTCTTAAAACTCTTACAAGTTTACTCCGTCGATAAAAACAATTTTGCCCATTCCATTAGATTGGAAAAGTGTCAAGGAAAATTTCTAGCGCAGAGTTTCTCCTAATTTTCTTTGACATGTGTCACAGTTGTCTCGGCATGATCTATATACACAAGGAAATATAATTTTTTCCTTGATAAATTTCTTCTTTTAGAAGTTATCTTGGCCATAGAGTAACATGTAATTTTTAAGACAATGGAAGGCTCCCAAGGAAAAGTGTTATATTTTTTCACAGCAAAATTCCCGCTGCTGATGACGCAACTCAGTGAAACACCAATTTAGCATGAGCGTTATTTTTGACGATGGACGGCTATTGATTATAGGTCTTGCTTGTTATTCGTCTGGGAGCCTATTTGGGAAGAACAAAGAGGAGAGGGTATAAATCTCTACTGAAAATGACGCAAATGGATTCATCATTCATAAAAATGAGAGCTTCAGTTTGAATCAAAATAATTAGCCTGTAAACAACTCTTTCCTCGTGGAAGTGAGATCATGGCAACCTGAGACATCCGTCAACAAACCGACGTTAGTCGCTAAAATGGCTCTAATTACATTAGAAATAAAATCTCAAAAAAATACTGTTCCATCATTTTGTGGTATGATCCACAAACATTTAGATACGGCTGGACAGTCGCCTTTTGTAACCATGGACCGAATTTTTTCTGAGGTAATACTCCAACTCCTTTCGCGGAAGTAATTATTGCGATCACACGAAGATACGCTGTGTTATAA